TGCCAAGTCTATCCTAATACGGTTCCCTTTTGTTTGGGGCTTTTGTGTAACAAACTATTTTTCTGTTTTGATTATGCTTGATGATGACTTGAAGCAAAAAACTGGGGATTTGAATATTATTGTAAGAGAAAAAAGAAGGATTTATTTAAAGAGTTAACTTGGGATGGATAAGAAAATTGAGCTAATGACAAGGGAAGTTCGTAGAATTGAAGGAGAAAAGGAGGAAGAAGAAATTGGAGATCCTAAAAATGATGACAAAGGCAATGTTTCTGGTCATACTTGCTGGTCTGCCAAAAATGACGGGCTTAGATTGGTAAGGTGCAGACTATTCTGGCCTGTAGCATTTCCAGCCCCCTTTTTTTTTAAATTTTTATTTTTATACAATTCTAATATATTATATAATATAGTTGAAGGATTTTGACTTTCAAATTCTAGATTGACATCTCCTCATTCATGTAATTGCATATGTAATACACACATAAAAAATCTACTTAATTAATTTGGATAAGAAAAATAATTAAATTAATTATTTAGAAAAAATATGTGTTAGTTTTTCTAAAAATATCTTCTCAAAGTATAAATTAATCATCATATTATTTTATTATAACCCATTACTCAAGTTTAAAACTCCAAATCCAATTTTAACATTTCAAAATAAGCTTAACCTATACAAATAATAATAATATTTTTAAAAATACTTAGGCAGGCCAGCAAGCTAAGGTGCGGGCTACTTCAGCCAGCACTGCTGTGGGTTGGCCCGTATCCACACCGCAAGTCCGCATTACCAACTCTCTCATAGATTTGGTATTGAGAAAGAGATTAGTGAGATTAGTGCACGCTTGTTGAAGTTACGGGATGGGATGAATTTTCATAAGGATAAATCAGCATTATTAGATGTTATTAAGAATTTGGAAATGCTATGAATCTGATTTGCGTATATTACTTGAAAAAAATTACGGTAAACGCATCATGAGTTTTTTGGTTATTGGTGATAACATTGTTGTTATTTCCTATACAAGCATTATAACTATAAACTATGTGCATATGATATCAATTTTTGCAGTAAATAAACTTAATGTCAATAGCTTTTGAACATTTATTATTTTTTAATAAAAACTTGTTATTAACAACTAGATTCTGAAAATAATATCAATTTAGTTTTATCAAAAATTAGTATTATTTTTCAATTTAGTTACTAATGATAAATATAGTATGAAAAATAATAAGTGTTGAAAAGCTATTTATATTAACTTACGTTTTAATAGAAATTGATATTATTTTTACAATTTAATTGCCAATGACAAATTTAACATGAAGTATAACAAATATTAGAAAGCTATTCACAATAATTTAAGTTTTAGCAGAAATTACCATTATTTTCAGAATTGAATTGCTAATGACAAGTCTAATATGATAAATAACAAATGTTGAAAAGTTATTTATAATAACTTAAATTTTAGCATATATTAGCATTATTTCTTATTATAAACTTATCAAATCCTTATAATCAACTTGTTATTCCCAAGTACCCGTATTTAACAACTTGTTATTTTTTATTACAAATTTGTTATTTCTTATGATAAACTTGTTATTTTCAATCATAAACTTGTTAAACCACGGATCGTCAAAGTGAAGAAAGCTTCTTTTCAGCCTTGTTCTCTGTTTCGTGGTCAAAGCTAGTCTTGTCGGACTAGGAGCTCCACTAGGCTTGACCGTGGGAGATTGACTTATTTAAGATAAAGAAAGAATGACGTTACAACAAACTTGTTATTCTCAACTACTCAGCAATTTGTTATTTCCAATTATAAACTTGTGAGATACTTGTAATTAACTTGTTAATCCCAGCTACTTGACAAACTTGTTATTTCTAATCATAAACTTATCAAATCTTTGTAGATAAGGTGTTATTCCCAATTATTTAAGAACTTGTTATCTCAACAAACTTAACTTGCTCTTTCAAGTACCCAAAAAGGATCAATCTGCCTACTTAACTTTTTATTTCCAACTTGGGACTTGTAACTTCAACAAACGTGATATTTTTATTATTGAACTTGTTAAATCTCAATATTCATCTTGTCATTTACAACCAATCAAACACTTGCTTTTTTTAACAACATACCTTTTTCCTTTCTAGTCACAAACTTGTTACCTAACAAGTTAATTTTCTTCAAATAAGAACTCCTTATTATGAAATAACAACTCTTCAAATTAATTTAGTGTTCAACAATACCGTTATGATAATTTCCAAATTTATTATTGTCATTTCCTAAATTAATCTTGTGACTTATTGAATAAATGGACTTATTATATGTTCTTAAATATCACTCAAGTTCACCTATCAGGAGAACGATTTGTCTATCCGAGTTCATCTCATGACGAACAATTATATTTATTTGTTACCTTTTTCATTTTTATTTGTCTCAGTCTTGGCAAAAACAGGTACAAAAAAAATCCTTGGTCGTAAAGCTTGCGTACAACTTTATTGTTTATAGTCTATATGTAATTTTATACATTGTAAACGCTAGACTGGATTGCGAAGGGTCCGGTTGAGAAGTAGAACCCCGCTCTTTGAGGGTGTGTTTAGATTGGTATTGGGTAAAACTGACTTCTATTCTAACTAACTTTTGTAACTGAAGTTAGAGTAAAAGTCAGTTACTGTAATGTGATTTATGTTTGGATAGGTGCTTATAAAAAATCAGTTGAAAAAGTTAAAAGTTATTTGGATGATTAAATAGAAAAGTGAGTATAGTTTGAAATAGAAAAGTCATATTTTTCTCTGTTAAGTCCAATTGAGGTTGAAGGTCAGAAGTTGGTTGGGCTTTTAGCCCCATCCAAACAACCATTTGGTCCTAAATAAGTCATAAACTGTAGTTTCATGTTTTCTCATAGACTTTTACCATTGCAAATTGCAATCCAAACATAACCTAAGAGTATGTTTGGATTAACGTTGGGCAAAATTAACTTCTAACTCGACTGACTTTTGTAACTGAAATTAGAGTAAAAGTCAGTTAGGGTATGCTTGGATAGGTGCTTTTAAAAAGTCAGTTAAAAAAGTTAAAAGTTGTTTGGATAATTAATAAAAAAGTTAGTTTAGTTGTAAAGTGACAGAAATGGATATGGACTTTATTGAATAACATTGTTTGAAATTTTATGTTTTTAATGTGATAATAGTTTAAAAAAATATATAAAATTATTATGATAAAATATAAATAGTTTATTTGTGAAATTAAAAAATAAAAATATTTGTTGAGAAAAATTTAAAAAAATTATAGATATTAAGATAAAATATATATAATGGACAAACATAAATATAAATTAAAATTCATTTGGTTTGAATAAAAGCTTATTATGCTAACAAAAGAGGCGAGGCAGAGGGAAAAATGTGAGGGTAAATTTGGGATACTCATTTTTAACGATCACCGTTTGAAACTGCATTTTGAAAATCCAGATTTTTCTCTGTTGAGTCTAATTGAAGTTGAAGGCCAGAAGTTGGTTAGAAAAGTTAGCCTAACCAAACAACGTTTTTTGTCCAATTTAATTTGCAACATCAGTTTCACCATTTCCAAGACACTTTTACTGTTAGAAATGGCAATCCAAACATGCCCTAAATGGTCCACGCAGGCTTCTTAGTCGACAAATGATATATAACCGCAGAATAAAAAATTCCAAATTCTGATTGAATTTTGCTGTGCTGAGGCGCTTTTAATCTATTTAATAATAAATTCGTGTGACTTGGCATAACATCTACGGTGTTTATTCTTCACAGGTGGCAGGGATAACTCATGTTGATGTGGTGCGTCGATGGAACAGAAACAGAAGAGAAGATGAGACAAAACAAGAAAAACAAGAAGGGGTTTTTTTTTTTTTCGGGGTTTTTTAGGCTTGATTTCATAATTATAATTTAAGACCTGACTCCTTCAAGTAATTTCCATTATTCAAATGATTATTTCGCTATTTTGTTATTTTAAGGGTTCTTTAATGCGATTTTCTCACACACACATAACATAAATATATGTTTAATAAAACATATAAAATACTTTTAAAATAAAATTTATTATGTAATTATTTATAAAATATTACCTCTAATTTTTAATATAAGAGCTAATTTAACTCTCAATTTGGTCCTAAATATAAGACCTCAATCCATTTTACTTCTCATATTTATCTATTTTTTTTTCAAAGTAGTTTTTGTATTAGTTGTACATGTTAAAAATTTAATCAAATAGTAGTTTTAGCTAATACATGATTAGTAACTATTTTTTTAGAAAAGATAACACCTAATCATTACAAAATAACTAACCCAATAAACTTTTTTAATCTACTTAAATTAGTCAATTAACTCTTATAATAAGGTCTGGAGGTAGTAATTAACTAATATTAAATATTACTTTACAATATGATATTTAATACTCTTCTGATCATTAATATAGGACTGAATTGGAGAGTTAACGTTGGCCCTAAATATAAAACTTATTTTACATGTTTATTAATTTTTTTTCAAATTAATCGTATTGATATTCTCTTAATAATACCCCAGTAAGAGAGACAGGAAAGGGTTTAAAAAATATTCTTAAGGTGTTTTAAAAAAAACATATCATATTAACTAATTCAATTAACATTCTCAATCTATCAAAATTAATTAATTAGGTCTTACAGCAAAGATCAGAAGAGTATTTATAAAAAAATATTATTAAAATTTATAAAATAAAAGGTAAAAGACTACCGAAATTCTAGTAAGAAAATCAGTGAAATCATAAGAGATTGATAAAAATATTATAGAGACATGATTATAAATTAAGTAAAACTATAAAACTTCATGGAAACAAAAAAGAAGAAGAATTAAAAGCAGGATTAAATCACAGGAGCTTCCAAGTTAATTTAAAAAATCAATTATATTATTATGCTAATTAAAATGCTTTTCCTTCTATTTTTATTTCAGAAGAAGAAAGGTAAAATTCGTCAATTGCTTGCCCGTTTGGCGTTTGCCCTACTTCCCCGGGCATTGTTCTCTCCCTCGCTGCTATTCAAGTTTCGGTCTCATATATCCTCATTCACTCGCCGTTTGCTCCCCCTTGTTCACTATCCTTCAGGTTCGAATTCTCCTGTGTTTTTCTTCAACTGTCAGTTGTTGTCTTTCGTTGGCAAAAAAAGAAAAAAAAAAGTTGCTGTGTTTCTCGTTGATCTGCTTTCTGTTATTTCTTGCTTCGTCGTGATGCTATCCGTCGCGTGATGCTTCTCGTTCAATAATCATAATCGTGAAGCCTCTTTTATTGTTGATGTGACCTCTAACTAAGCCTCTCACTATCACACTCTAGCTGTTGTAACGATGCCCCGAAGACCCAGAAGGCGTAGCCAACATTTGAAAGCTCGGCCTTTGACATTCTCGCGTTTCGCTCGTTCAGTAGCCCAAATGGCCTCTACTTCCAAGTCTAATAAAAAATCTTATCGAAGCTTTGCAGGTAATCCCCGCCTCTACAGTAATGTGCAATTCATAGTTAGTTGATGCTTACAGTTTGCATAATTGCATCCCAGTTTCTAAGTCTCTAAGCCACTGCCCAGGCTATGGATTGGCTAAGCACACTTTGGAGGAGAAGACAGAGCAATCTGAGTCATCTGATGAAGAGTTTGAAGTAATTGTTCATATTTGATTTATTGCATTTAACATGTTCAAATTAAATTTGGGGAATAACTAGCAAATGATTAAAGTATCGTTTCTGTCATTGAAGGGTGTTGTCCAAGCTGATTTTTCCTTCTTTGATCCTAAACCTGGTGACTTTCATGGAGTAAAGAACTTGCTCCAAACTTACCTGGATGATAAACAATGGGATCTGAGTGGCTTTGTTGACTTAATCTTGGAACAGACCACAGTGGGCACTGTTGTAAAAGTAGAGGATGATGAGGATGAGGGGCTTTTTGCTGTTGTGACTGCTCTGAACTTATGGAGATACAGGGTAAGTGACTTCACAGACATTATTAGCTGCCATGTCTTGTTACCACGTTATCTATTGGCTGGCCTGAAATGTTATTATGTGAAATCATCTTTACTTCCATCTCATCCTGTTTCTTTTGCACTTATGAGCAAACGTCATCTGGACCCTTTTCAAATTTACCAGTTCGGTGATTTGTTACAAGTATGAAATAGATAGATTGCTGCGGGGATCAAAATACTAATGACATGTTTCTTATTTAAGATAGGACACCAAATCATATCTTGTGCGTGTGCTTGTGTATGTGTCTCTGTTTGGAAATTTAATACATAACAACATCATTTATTTGAGGTACAAACTGCAATGTTTTAATTTAGCAGATGATCCAGTATATTCTTGATTCTGCACGTAACTTGCCCATTGGATGTGTGACTGGCACAGTATTTCAGCACATGCTGAAGCTTGACTGTGTGTTTTTTCCAGGAGCAAAAATGTATCGAGGAACTGAAGGATTTCCTACTTAAAGTGTGCAAAGAAAAGGGCACATTTGATCAATTGAAACTTCTTTTGGGGGAACAAGCACATGATGTTGGTCTTCTGGTATCCCAGCGCGTAGTGAATCTTCCTCTCCAGCTTTTACCACATCTTTATGATGCCCTTTTTGATGAAGTGTCATGGGCGACAGAAGATGAGGTCAGATGTTGATATTAATAGATGGGTGAGGGTGGTAGATAGGATTCAACTTGATCGCCAGAGGCTCACTTTGCTCAGGGAACTTATAATGTGTTGTTTTGCATTTTTGTAGCCAACAGAGGAGCTTCGTAATTCCTTCAAGTTAACACATTATATAATATATAGTAAAATTTACAAGGTACCCTTCTGTGGCTTCTCCCTTGTACCTTCTACTCATTGTCTTCTCTTTTTGGTTACTATAGAGTTTCTAGTTAAGTTCATTTTCTTCTTGTTACTCTTATTTTTTCTTTGACCGAACGTAAAATCACAGCATAAGAATGCAGAGCAAAATCGAAAACTGAACAAGGATGATGATAATGCAATAATATATATAAAGCCTGAGGACGAACTTTTTCACAAGGTACTGAACTACTAATGCTTCTGTTGATCTTGTTGACCCATTGTCTATTTATTTCGCTTGCATTATTGACTATTTCCTGAAATCTATCACAGTTGAGCTCCTGGTTTTTCTATTTTCCATTGCAAACTTCACAGCCTGAAACTCGTGAGGCAAGTATATGATTCCTGATATACCATTATTCCAATATGTTTTGGTTCTCCATTTTCTTGGCATTTTCTGGAAGTATTTTTTTTAATGCATAACGATAATAAGTTCTGCCTCTGTTTTGTGGAGAAATACACAGCAAAATATGGAGTGCCTTATGGGATATTGGCAGTGAGGACTTTTTGCCATGTGTTTTCATGGAACGTAATGCTCACGTTCTTAACAGGAACTTTTTTCTCTCCCATCTTTTATGGGATACAGTTAATTTTCACCAGTTTTATTTTGGGGATGGGCTGTATGGGGTCCGTGGGTATTTTGAACAGCCTATTTGAGTTAAACTTCTCTCGTCTACATGCTCTTTTCCCTGGTTGATGGAGGGTTGAGCATCTGGATCAGGTATACTGAGGTTTCAAGCCTGATTCTCATCTTCCCTTCTACAATCTACATTCTGGGATTAGATAGGAATACCAAATCAACATGATCAAGATAGAATGCAAACGAAATGACCAAGTCCGAGTTCTTGGAATCAATTTTGATGCTCTGAACGTTAAGAATTTTAAAATAACTAGAATTTCAGTTTTGTTTTATTTTATTTTATTTTTTTGGGTGAACGATAGAATTTCAGTTTTATTTTCTTGCTTAAATTACCCTATAGCTATATCTTCAGTAATTCGGAATTGATATTCATGTTTTGCCCCTTACAGCTAAAGAATTACATGTCAGTGGGATTGGTCATGGCTGTTGAAGCAGATAAAATTCCCACATTTCGGCAAGAATTGCGGTCTCTAATGAGTGAACCCTGATGCGAACCATTAGGTGCCCCGGATTTCGAGCAATGCAGTCAAACTTCTGATTCATCCTGATCTGGTCCAACGTGCCAAATTATAATATTATTTTTTCTTTGTCATGGGCTTTAGGCACTTTTAAGAACGTACTCTTCTACATTAGCCTGATGCATTTAAAATTTTGCTCAGAGAGAAACGAACTTAAATTGATAAATTGAGTTCACCCCAGTTTATGGCCCTTTTTGTTCTTGCGGTTCCTCATGACCCGATAGTTGTGGACAAATATTTTCTGGGTTTCACCCTTGAAAGCATAGCGAGATATGTTACACGTTCTACAACTGCGAGAAAACAGTGCCTTGCATCAAGTAAAATGATGAAATTACGGCTCTGCTGATAATTGCTTGATTAACTGGATGAAAATGACATTGGGTGTGGATTAAAGCAAGTTTATAGTCGTATAAACCACCTTCCAGTTTCTAAGGCATAAACATCTGCAAAGTAGGGGCTGGTTGGTTTACTCAAGAAGCATTTTTTAAGAGTGTTTTTATGTAAGTCAAGACAAATTTTTTTTTCACATATTTATTTTATATATCATAAAATCACTTTTAAAATCATGATTTAATTTTTACTTAAGTACTTCCATAAATATCAGGTCAAATCATATATTGATTGCTTAGGGGGATTAGATGATATTTTTTAAATACAATTTAGGAGGAAAACATGAAGCAGCATGCCCCTGAAGGTGAGAAGCCATCGTTTTTCAGTGTTTATGCTGAAACCGCTATTAAGATCGTCCAGTTCATTTAACTAATCTCAATGCTTGACGGAAGATCACTGTATGATATTAGGGTCTAAATCTTCACGAGGTTAAGTGCTCAACTGTTCGTGCGATGGTAAGGACAATAAATCACATATATTTGTATGGTGACATTTATCTTAGCTAATACTAAAAGAAGAATGAAAGGACTATTAAAAGCCACCTCCAATAAAAGATTTGTCTAATTCATCCTTCGCAAAAGAAATAAACAAGCCTGTTATAATAATAATTTACTCATTAACAACACCAATTCTTCGTGGAAAACTCTTTCCCTGAAGGTTTTTTTTTTTAAAAAATTTTATTTGACTGCAATGGGTAGTTTATTCATTAAAAAAATTAATCAAAAGCCTGGCCTAAGGAAAATAAAAAAGGACCCAAGGCTGGGTAAAAAAAAATTTACAAAAGGGAAATAGATTAATTGCTGATGCTATTGGAGATAGAAGGAGGTTGTGGCAGTGGGGTTGTTCGTAGAACCACAACTCTGTCACGTTGTGGTCGCTATTTTCTTGTGAAATTAAAATTACACACACTCTCTCTCTCTCTCTCTAACTTCAGTGCTAAGTGATGAAACCAATGAATTCTCCTTCCGAAACTCTCGTGATCACTCGTGCATCCTTTAAAACTAGTTTTATTTTTAATTTAATTATAAATATAAGATTTTAATTTATTTTATTTTTTTATAACAAAAATTTACTTTATTTCTAATTTTATTTATTTTTTTAAGATAGTTCTTATAATAATTACATATATTAAATATTTTTATCAAATATTAATTTTAATTAATACACATAATTAATAATAAAAATATTTTAAAAAATATTTATTTATTATAAATAATTAGTTTAACTAATTTCACAACATTTATTTCTTCCCATACGATCATGCATTGCCATGCCCAGGAAAGAGCTCACAATCACAAAGCCGAGGTTGCGTCCGAGGCGTAGATAAACTTCTGGATATTATCACACAAGGCCTGTGCTTTGGCAGGCTCAAAGATCTCCACTCCATGGAACCCATCGTCGCTGAAATGGGTGAACACCTCCACTCCACGTGCTTCCAGAATCTTCACCACCTCCTTCTGCTTGTCCACCAGTGGGTCCCCGCCGTAGCCATTCAAGAAACACCTTGGCAGCCGTCCGATCTTCTCCCCGTAGATCCCATCACCCACCGTCGGATTACAGTACTCATGGTCCCGGTCGGCGCCAGGTGGCAAAGACAGGGCCCACATCAGTTCGTTCGCCGGCAGCGGCAGAATGCGATCGTTCGCCAGCCTCACCTCCGATGCCGTCCTCTGGACGCCACCAAAGTAAGCCGAGTTTAGTATCAGGCCTTGGATCTTCAGCGGAGACAAGTCAAGATCAGTGGCGCGTAAACCAGCGAAGTAGGCGATATTTGCTCCGGCGCTACTTCCCATCAGGAAGCACCGGGAGAAATCCGCGTGGTCTTTCATCCAGGGTTCGGATGCGTTGGGATCCCGGGCTTGGTTTCGGACCCACTCGATCGCTTCGACAGCGTCTTCGTAGGCCGCAGGAAGACGGTGCTCCGGTGCGAGACGGTAGTCGACGGAGACGACCAGGGCGGGCAAACGGGAGGCCAAGGCAATGCAGGAATCGTGGAAAATGGAGGAGGAAGGGTGGTAGAAGACGAAGCCGCCGCCGTGGTAGTAGATGACGACGGGGAGTTTGGGGGGAGAGGGAGGGAGAGGATGGGGGAGGAAGAGGCGGAGGGAGGTGTCGAAGGAGGAGTTGAGAGGGAGGTCCTTGGAGAGAGAAAGGGAATGGGCGGGGGCGGGGGCGGGGGCGGGGGCGGGAGAAGGGGGCACGGAGGGGATGGGTCGGAGTCGGGTGATGGAGCCATCGGGATTGGGTTTGATGCTGAGGAATTGGTAGGGGTCGAGGGAGGAAGTTGCATCGTGGGGGGCGGGGGGAGGTTGGTTGGCCATGGTTGAGACTTTAGAGGAGGGAGGCCCCGTCACACTCAGGAGAAGAAGAAGAAGAAGCTGCGGCTCATATGTAACCATCTCGTCTCATTAAATTGCCGCTTAATTTAGGTAGGTTGATACTGCTGGCCCTGGCCGGCCGGATGGAGAAATTCTCTCTCAGCCTCTCCATGTATCCAAATGACGTGTCTTTTATTTTTAAGGAATGAGATTAATCAAATTACAGCAACCTGGCTTTCCAGAGTTATGCGGATACTGTGCTAGCTATGCGCTAATTGAGCTGTTCGGGGCTTAAATGATACGCTGATAAATGCTGGTGACATTGTTCATCTCCTACGCCGGTTCTATGAAATTCACGAATTTAATTATTAAATCACACCACGATAATTAATTCAACAATAATGGTTCATTTAAGAAGCGCAACTGCCTTCCCCCCCCCCCCCCCAAAACCCCCCCGGGGGGGGGGGACCCGCAGTTATTATGATCACACCCTCCTGCCATGACTTATTCACTTTCATTCTTCACACTGAAAATTTTATGACCCAACTCATCATCTAAGAATATGCAATAGAAATAACATTTTTGTTGGTTCTAAATTTCTAATAAAGAAGTGCTGAAAGTCACTTGGGTGAAAACTGAAAGAAGTTTTCAACAGCGTTGTCCATCTAGAAGGAGAAGGAACCAAATTTTTAACAATTACTTCATTTGCGGGCTGCATACGTAAAAGATATCCCCGCCTCCCAAATTTTCGAGTGAATCAAATTTTACAAAGTCTGTCAAGTCAACAGTCACGTGCGTACCGAACTAGGCAGCTGGCAGGATGGAAGAGAGGTCGTTGGCGCTTTGACCATTGTCACTCTGCTCTTCGTGCATTGCTAATATATGCCCAGAATTTCTGGGCCCAAATTTCCGCCATGAAACCTTAATATAGAGTCTCATAGCAGTCAATTATAGCTGAAATTAATGGGTAAACCACATGTACTTCCCGTCTTTGTGCTTTGTATGCTAACATACACATGGACGACACTGTCTATTCCCTTCATAGTTTTACCTGGTAACTACTCTGTTTCTCAATCCTTTACTTTGTTACAAAGTTTAAAAGTTTTATCAGTTTGCATCGTTTACGCTCTGTTTTGTGCATGGTTTTGTTTTTTGTCGAATTTATGGTCCGCCATTTGGTGGCTGATGCTAAAATCGATGGTGGCTCGGTATTCTTACCCTTTAAATGAGTCACTAGATGGGTATGTGGAAAGTGACATTGTATGCCTTTTGTTCCAGAACCAGGGTCACATCTTTCCTATTATTTTTAACTTTTCCAACCAAGCTCTGCCTAAAGGTCCAAGATAGAATTTAGAGGAAACATCCTTGGTAGATGAGTTTGCACTTGTGAGAGAAAGAACAAGTCTGCCCACGCACTCATTATGTAGACTGAGTCATAAAGCTTTGATTCTTTGTACTTATGTCAGGCCTTGGAGATGAATGCAAGAATCAAGGAGTCAAACACTTCACAGAGCTCTTAAGCAACTGGTCTGGCTCTCAAGGATACTGCATGTATGCTAATAATTTAGTATTTAACTAATAGTAATTTTTCTTTTCATTTGACCATGAGTCCATATGCCGAAGCCTAGTTCAAGGGTCAATAGGTCAATTGTGTTGATTACAATCTGTCACAGGTGGAAGGAAAATTAAAACTCGCACAGCATGTCATAGATAGCTATTTTGGTACATTTATATTTATTAAATGATGCAAAGATTTCTTTCCCAATACAGCTGAACTTCAATAATTGAGAGAGAGAATGTAACAAATGTTATCAATTATATTAATTTGTGAATGTTATGAACTTGCTCTCCTAACAATGAACTCTAGTAAATTTACAAAATATTGTTGCAAAAAAGGAAGCTAACATTATCCAGAAGAAATGAGAAGAATAAAGCTCCTAGCATTTCAAGGGGGCTAGGATCCTCCATGCGAATGCCCATATTCTAATTATTACACCCTCTGCTCTCACCTGCAATATGTATCTACTAGCCTAACGAACTTTGCAGTTAAGTTAGTTGGTCCTTGCAGCTGAATTCCCATTTAACAGCCCGTTTTGATAGACGTTTGATGATTCACAACCAAGATGTGATGTGCTTTTACTTACTTATCTGTACTTCACCTGTTTGTAGAAAAATTGGAGACGGATCATGGGATTCTTGGACCATGCCCCTAATGGAACAGGTGACACTTGGTTATCGTGCTTCCATTTTACAATGTTAGGCATCTTACAATCAAGTAACTGTTTGTATACTCCATATGCTTTCAGACAACTATTGCCTGTGAGAAGGTAGCGAAGATGTTTGGTAAGAGATTCCAATTTTACTCCATGAGTATAATTTGTTTCCAAATAAGTTTTTGCTTTTATCCCTAGGTTAAGAAGATGACTGAACTAAGTCAGGGTTACAATATCGTCGGACTCTCTCAGGCGAGTAAGCAATGAAGTGAACTCATTTTACTTGAACTAACAATAATATTTCATTTTAGGCGGTATTTCTGGTAGGCACAAACAAAGACTAGCAAAACAAAAGGGGAAAAACTCAGGAGATGCAGCTGATATATAAGTTCCTTTTCATTTCTGCAGTCTTCCCACTATTAACCAACAATGGAGAGATGCAAGGAGATAATAGAACCAGTCAATATTCATACAAAAGCAAATATTAGAACATGATAAAAGCCCTATTTTGATCCTTGAAAGATAGCACCATTATCCTTTTTCCAAAGGCTCAATAATTGCCTATTGTATATTTAGTGCTAACGGGTTATAGTTTGAATTGTTAAGCATTTATCGTCTTAACATAGTAGAATGGCTTTTCAGTGCATATGTTTCCTTTCTTTCCTGTATTGATCACATGATAGCCTCATTTGGTTCACAGGGCAACATGATTGGTCGAGGGCTTGTTGAATTTTGTGATGGAGGACCGCAGGTATGGACTGATTTTTTAATCTATGATATTGGACTTTTACATCTCCATGGAGAAGTTATTTTGAGGTTGCATCTTTCTGTTTATTCTTTATTTGAGAACCCTGTTTTTTTAAAGTCTTATTTTAAAATTTATTTTTATTTTTATTTCAATGCTATTTATACCAATATCTGAAATCTGAATCGAGGCGTGTTGCTTTTTCTTTTGTCCTGGATGTAAATCAGGTGAAGAATTTCATATCGCTCGCCGGACCACATGCTGGTACTGCTTCTCTTCCATTCTGTGGGGTAAGTGCTTTATAGTTGAACTCAATCTGCTAAATATTTGTTCCTCTATAGCACTTAATCTCAGAAGGATGGTTTATTTCTGGAGTGTAGCAACTATAGGTACTTAATCAGACACAAACTAATACGGAAGTTTTATGGGCGTCTCCAAAGCAATAGCATGTTAAAACGCTATCCTTACCGCAATGTTGTCAATCTGTGATGAAAAGACTAGGAAAACCATGCTGTCATCTCTTCCTTAATCAGTTGGTTGCTAATATGTGCTATTTTGGAGTGAGTGCCCGTCTATATAAGGATTTTTAAATGGCGTAATTTTTCAGTATATATATCTTGGGAACAGAAACAACTGAGAGATTTGTATTGCTATTCCATGCAATATGTATCTAGACCCTTGCAGAACTTCTGACATGGAAATTGGTTTGACTGAGTACAAAGATATCAATAATTGAGTTATAAATTATCTGTCATTCTTCTGCGTGTGGGTTGTTGTAGTTGCAACATTGTCTGACATTTGCATTTTCCCAGTCCGAGTGGTTATGCGTTCTTCTTGATGATCTGGTCAAATTGATAATCTACAGCCGCTTTGTCCAGGTTTTTTACTTTGCTTAATCGCCTTGTTGTAACTTTTCACTTTTTAGTTTAATGAGAAGATTACTATGATTGAATTCGAAATGAATGTCATGCTGTTCTTATTTCAAGTCTCGTTCATTTTTTCTTATTATTTGGCTTCCAAATTCTTTTAGTAACATATTGCTATTTTCCCTCTCCTGGTACCCATGAAATCTTGATGCAGGAACACCTTGGGCCAAGTAACTACTTTAAAATACCTACAGTGAGTGGAATACATAATATGTAAATCATCATTTACTTGTTAAGTTGCATTTCACATATTAGTCGCACTTGAGCTATTTTGCTCTACTCAATAGTCAGTGACATTGGGTCTGATTGGATTTCTGCGTTATGGACAAATGGAGAAAACAAAAGCAATCAGTTCATGTTCTCATTTTTCAGGATATTTTTGCCTACATTAACGGATGTAAGTTTCTTCCAAAGCTTAATAATGAAATCATGAATATGAAGAATTATACATACAAGCTGCGATTTGCCAGCTTAGAAAATTTGGTTCTTATAATGGTGAGTAAGAATTTCTCTGTTCTGCCTCTCTTCTCAACTCTGTTTTGGATAATATTAGTCTATATTATATACACCTATGGTGTCTCTATGCTCCCTGCATGTGAATCAGTTCGAGCAAGACGCTGTTTTGATACCCAAAGAAACATCCTGGTTTGGTTATTTTCCAGATGGTGCATTTCATCCTGTTTTGCCAGCACAAGAGGTAATTTAAGTCATCACATATCTGGTATTTACCTGATGCAAGTATCTTATATAATAAGTAGTTCCGATGTACCTTGTATGTTATGTTTGGATTGTGAATTGAAAAATTCCACAGAATTTTAAGTGGGAGGAATTTAAACTTTCTAGGATTCAAGTCCTTTCTTTTAAAATGGGTTGGCTGGATAATTATTTGCTCATATACATACACATGCCTACATATATACTCCTCCGGTCCTTATTATAAGACCCCATTTGACTTTTTATTTGGTCCTAATTATAAGACACCAATCCATTTTATCTCTTATATTTATGCATTTTTTTCCAAGATAATCCTTCTAATAATGATAGTTTTAGCCAATATACTTAATTAGCAAGGATATTTTAGGAATGACAACACTTATTTATTATAAATAACCAACTTAACTTACTTCCTTAATCTCCTCAAATAAGTCAATTGGGTCTTATAATTAGGACCGGAGGAGTATGTTTTATTCTGAAAGTTTTCGTTTAGGAGCAATATTGTCACAAAATTTTTTTTAGATTCAATGTTATCCCGAAAGCTTCGAAATATAATAATGTTGCCCTACCTTGAAAAAAACCGTTAGCATTTTTAACTGTAAGGGTAACATTGCTTCGATAACCTTAAACCCAAAAAAAAAAAAAACAACAACAACATTGCCCCTGGTAAAAATGTTCAAAACAAATTTGTATCTTAACCTCTTTTTTTAAAATTCATGCTCTATTCCTCTAAAATTACATGCTTAAACTAATTCAACAATTAAAAAGCCCTAAATCCCTATTACTCTGAACTAGACCGGTAAAAGCTACCTCTTCTCTGGTCCAGATTTGTTCCATAAGTCACTTATTTCATTTACAAGCCATTGCGGATGGGCCAGTACCCTTTGCATAGGCTCAGGGACCGTTTTCTAATGCTAACAGCTCTAAACCAACATAACTAAACTAATCCTTGCCTATATTTGTATCGTAACAGCTACTTCCCACTAAGAAAAGTTTTTATAAAAATTCAAAAAGAAGATCAAAATTGATATCATTCTCTGGTGATTCCTATTCTGCAACTGGTGTTTGTGCCTTCTTCCAAAGAATGAGAAGCCATATAACTTGAGCCCATTGTTTGTGCAGCCACCCAAGGCTCCATTTTTAGACTCGTTTATTTTTCTGGTTTAGAGCTAATGTGACTTCCGGTAACACTGTCCCCTGCAGTGTGCTCCCTTGGCTTTGCTACTGTCATTCTATCCCATTCCATTTCTTTCCATCGTCATCATTCCCGGTAACCAATTGGACGCTGAAGAGAATATGCTCACCAGTTGTCCTGTTGTGCACCAGATCCATCCCCTGCTCGTCCTGAGTGCAGAACCAGAATCTCAACTCACAGATCCCAGGAGCTGCAGTGCTGATCGGTCGTCCAGGGTTTCCCCTTCCTCCTGACTTGCGCTCAATCACGCAGCCTTCTACTTGACCATAATCCTTTAATTCACCACTATTTAGTTCGGGGGTTAGCAGGAGTTTATGTTCTTGTGTGTCGTGGCTTTTCTTGATCTTCTTGAACCTTCATGACCACAGGTCCCTCAAGAATGGCGGCATGCGTGTCATCCACTCATCTTCATCGTAAACCTTTCTTACCCCATTCCCCAGCAGTTCATTGACGGTGACTTGCCTTTCTTTCACAGAATCACAGAATCACGCATTTCCTTCTTGCTTCCATTTCCTTTCCAAATGGAATCAGCTCGGGGACCACTTGGTACAACTTTTTCTCAGAGATAACTTATTCACACCCTATATATAGCCTCAAGGAACCCCTTCTGATGCTAACTGTTCTAAAGCAACATAGCTACCAGCTAACTAATCTCATCCTCTTATTACTTGTACCCTAACACCCTCCCTCTTAAATTTTACGCCATCTCTCTAATTCTGATTCAATTATAATGGATGTTATGGTGACTAATATTCTGACTCAACACCTTCCGATAAGACCCACTATAATTTTCTCATGCTTTCGTCAATCATCCCCATTATAATTTCTAAAATCCTCTATCATTGAAAGTATGGCCAAAGCATAAAATTATCATGCTTTCTTCCGAAACTTAATAATTAATAATGGAATTAGCAAGGATGGAACTCTAGCTTACTTGGTTTACAGAGTATTTTACCCTAACAGAAACTAGAAAACACTCCGTGCATTGTGCGGAGGATTCAACAAAAGCAGCAGTATAGAAGATTCAAAATTTTCAAATCCGAAAAAGTGACTGTGTATTAAAAAAAAAAAAGTCACTTATATGACCAAAAGATGTCACTTCAGTAAATGATGATTGAATAGTAACGAGGATTTTGTTTGTATGTGTTGTATTAATATATCAAGTGTTCACTTGATAAGCTGTTTGAGGCCTGTGCTTGTGATGGATGGACGGGGCAACATTCGTTCTTAAATTTCACGAAGCAATCAATGCATGAAATAATTTACCCAGACATTTAATAAAATGCCCTGTTTTTCACAGACTAAGCTCTATACTGAAGACTGGATCGGTTTAAAAACTCTGGATGAAGCTGGAAAAGTGAAATTCATCAAGGTGTCAGGGAATCATTTGGAGATATCAGTTGGTGAGATGAAGAGATATATAGTGCCATTCTTGAAGGACCAAGCATCAACAATCGCACTTCCAAAAGTCGTAGAATCTTCATCTGGTTGGCAGTGGTCGCTCCTGAGCTTCGCTTTTGAAATGGCTGGGCTTAATGAAGGCCGGCAGTTACTCCGCATCATGGGTTAGAGTAGATTATTCAAAAGTTCCTGTGAAATTGACTTTACAGGATGTATAAAACGGAACCACCGTCGGTTGGACCATGGGATATGACGGTGAATTTAAAAAGCCGAGAATATTTAAATTATTGGGCATTCTAAAGTCATATATTCAATAAAGTGGCGGTGAAGTTCTAGTTTTGTAGACCGAGCGAGTGAAAGCTACATGGAATAATTCCATTCTCAAGCACTGTGATTATACTTGGGCAGAATATTTATGTACGTGTAGCAGGACAATACCAGCTTCAGAGGCTTTAACAAAACAACAATCTGTCAATGTTAATCTTCAGAATCAACAGGCCAACTATTGACTCTCCTATAATCCATTTCAAAGGCAAAAGCATCATGAATGTATTTCCAACAAATTGAAGTCGCCAAACCTGTGATCTGAAATACGCACGACATACACCTTTTTCGCTTCATTATGGGACCATATGGTACGTACGTATATCCATCTTAAAATGCGACTTGTCTGTTATGACAATATAGTAGTATGATAAACACACCGCATGATCCATCAAAAACCCCAGTGCTTCTCTTTCCCCTTATCATCTCAAACTGATCAAGCAAGCGCTGAGCTTTGTAAATGGCAGAAGCCCCACGCCCATTCACTCTTTTTCTTTTGTTTCTTTTTTCCTTTTTTCAAGAAAAGAAGGGAAATGCGTGAAGTATGATATAGTGATGTGGTTGGGCCTCAGAAATGTTGCTCTCACACGTCAGCTATGCTTCCAACGAGGGTTTCCAGACTTGGATTGGACCAGTCGGTTTGAAAAACTAACCAACCTGAGAACTGATGAAATCAGATTGAAAAAAGTACCAAAAAAAAAAGAGAAAAGAAATCAGCCTGGAAATGCTAAATTTGATTAAAGAAAACTATGGTAAAACCGGTTATATTATTCTTTTATTTTCTAAATTTCTAAATTATAATCCATTATTCCAAAATTGTAATATACATACATGTCTGCATCTAATAAGCATCGAGAGAATGAAGAAAAATGAACAGACATGTAAGAAACTTTATAAATGTGTATGTATATATTCAACAAGTTATAATTATAAATTATGAAGAAATTATATTTTGGACGAAAAATATGGAATAATGATAGATAATTAGATATTACCTGTGAATACCCAATTTTGTCTGGGCCCCACAAACTTATTAAATGTAATTGAAATTAAAGAAAAGGAAAAAAAAAAAGAATCATAAAAGATTGATATCCTCCTTGATCTTTCTTGGACGCTAAGTCTGAGAAGTTCACCATATGACAAATAAAAAAAAATCCCTCTTACAATAAATGGCAATAAAATAAGAGATAAGAATTAAAAGCCAATTTAGGAAATGTGAGGTGGACACATTAAGGAGGGAAATAAAAAAAATAAGAAAATAAAAGTAAATATTTCTCATTTAAGATGATTAGCTCCTCAATTTAGAAAAATATTTTGGTTTATGATAGTAAAAAAAAAAAAACAGAAATTAAAATGAGAAATCATAATTTGATGATGATTTGATGCTCAAATAGGAAGTTACATTAGGAGAAAAAATAAAAAAAACGAAAATTAAAATAAAAAAATCATAATTTGATGATGATTTGGTACTCAATAGGAAGTTATATATAAATTATAATTAAGGAAAATTAAAAAAGAAAATTGGAAAAAAATTGGAAAAACCCTATGTAGAGCTTATAAATAGGAGAGTAAGGGTTAGAGGAACTGATTCAGAATTTCCTAATGAAGAAAAAAGGTAAGGTAGAGAGTTTTTCTATCATCTTATTTCATTGCAATAAGTTGTTTTGGGGAAAGAGAGTGAAGGCCCAACTAGAGAAAAATCCCTTTTTTTTTTTCATCTTCTCTTTCTTTTACCCAAGAAAAACCTACGCTCTTGTGATTGTTGTCACATTTATAGTTGGAGTAGTGATGGCTAGATGTTGAATCCAACATGATTTTAGTTAATTCTCACTACTCCCTTCTTTTTGATTTATTCGAAATATGCCTCTATCTATTTATCCCCCACATATACTCATTTTGATATTCACGTCCTTCCTTTTTTTAATTTTCATTTTATTTCATTTATTCTATTTTTGGTTCATGCTTTTTTGCCAATATGTGTATATAGTTTTTTTTTATTGGCTTATTATACAATGTATTTTTTTTTATATAGCCAATTGATAAGTGGAGCATCAAATATGAATTTTCATTCCCATCAATTGGGTATGCTTCTAAGAACCACGAGTTGATAAACCCTGAGGAGACAGTCTCACGTTATATTCTTCCCTCAAGGGGATGAGACATTGAAAGATGGCTAACTTTTTTCCCGCAAAGAGGTGGTTAGAACCCTATTGAAAATAAACCACCCTCTCCAACACTAGATGTGTTTGCTGCGAAGTGCATCATATTTGAAATTCTATGTTTAATGCAGCCTATAAATTCCTTTCCAAACCGTCTAGTGATATTGGAAGCCAATTATGGAGGGGTTTTTTGGCATTGGCAAATTCTTGAGAAAATGAAATTCTTATCTGGCAAGTCACCCCTGAGAGAAGTATCACCAACTCACTGAGAGCTAAATGGGAATAGTGAACAGTGGAGAGTGTCATTTAGGATGTTAGTGTGAGGAAAGGAAGTGTGATTCATAACTGAGAGACTGTCAAAGAGAGAAAATATATGGAAGGAATCTATTAAACCTAGCCACTATATTGTGGTTTTCTCTTGTGATTTGCAGGAATGGCTAAGGTGGAATGCACCACACCAACCTAGTAAATCCGGTTCTCGGATGGATATGGTAGAGAAGAATTTGGCTCTGCTTGCTAGCTGATCTAGAAAGCATGATGCAACCAAATCTCCAGAAAAGGGAACAACACACTCAGGGGATGTTTTACCAGATCATGTTTCACCTTTCAAAAGCAACTTCATAGGGGAAACCAAAACACAATATCTTCCAGAACATTAACATGAAGCAAATTCAATGGAAGCCACCAAGAGAAAAAGCGGGTTGGACTAGATGTTGATGCACTA